CTGGGGTATAACACTGCCCTCAAAGGTATACTGTAAATTCAGAAATTATTGCGATGTTTTTATTATTGCGAAAAATGCGAATGGGATATAATCGCAATAATTTAAACTCGCATTTTGAATATTTTTTATATGAATTAAACAGAATTTTTCTCAATATCGCAAAAAATTAAAATCGGATTTTAGTCTAAAATGACAAAATCGCAATAATAAATGCACGCAATAATTTCTGAATTTACAGTACACTGCTCACATTATCATAGGTAGCAATACACAGTTAGGAAAAAAACTTAAAATTGACACATAATTTTTAACCACCCTCCTTCCCTTGCTTTCTAACAAATAAGGCTTACTGTTTGTGTTATGTATGTGCATATGTATGGAAACAATATCTTCCATAGATTTGATTTCCAATAGTAAAATAGTGAAATATAATCTCTTTTTGGTGTAACCGTGGCAACAGTCTGCATTTATTTGATACATAATATTGCAAAAAGGGGGTAAAAATGTCACAAAAGTCCCAAAAATTTGGTCCAAAGAAGAATTTCAATCCATGAGAGTAATAACGTTTCTGAAACCATTGACATTTATCTATGGAGAGGTCCAAACAATTCATATGCATATTTCATATTTCACCTCATTCTTCCATAAAATTGAATTAAAAAATTCAAGGGTCAAAGATTTGTTGAAAAACCCTACAATCATTTCTGGTCCTGGGTGCTACAGATGTGAAAATTCAGACTGTCAAACAGAAAAAATGGCCTATAAAATATGCAAAAAACAATCTTGATGTTCATATATACCTATTTTGAAGGCTATATTATTCTTCAGCTATCTAAAAATAAATTTTTTGGCTCAAAAACTTTCATATTTAAAAAAATTCACCATGGCCAAAATGTGAAACAAAACTCGTAACTGTGTATTGCTACCTTAGGTTTGCAGTGCCAATAATAAATTCAGGTGTAAACTGCCCTCAACAACTGAATTTAACACTGCTGATTCAAACTTATGTATACACTGCTCACAGTTTCTTAGATTTGCACTGCCAACAACAATTTAGATAAACACTGCTCACGTAAACTTAGGTATGTACTTTCCACAATTCAACTTATGAAAGCAATGCCCACAACTACTTGGGTATACACAGCTCACATCTACTTAGGTATACAGTGCTCACATCTACTTAGGTATACACTGCTCACATCTACTTAGGTATACACTGCTCACATCTACTTAGGTATACACAGCTCACATCTACTTAGGTATATACAGCTCACATCTACTTAGGTATACACAGCTCACGTCTACTTAGGTATACACTGCTCATGTCTACTTAGGTATACACAGCTCACATCTACTTGAGTATACACAGCTCACATCTACTTAGGTATACACTGCTCACATCTACTTAGGTATACACTGCTCACATCTACTTGGGTATACACTGCTCATATCTACTTAGGTATACACAGCTCACAGCTCACATCTACTTAGGTATACACTGCTCACATCTACTTAGGTATACACTGCTCACATCTACTTGGGTATACACTGCTCACATCTACTTGGGTATACACAACTCGCATTGTGTCAATATAATGGAATTTTATGCGACTGTCATACAAGTGAGAGGTTTAGCTAGCTATAAAACCAGGTTCAATCCACCATTTTCTACATAAGAAAATGCCTGTACCAAGTCAGGAATATGACAGTTGTATTCCATTCTTTTGATGTGTTTGAGCTTTTGATTTTGCCATTTGATTAGGGACTTTCCTTTTTTAATTTTCCTCAGAGTTCAGTATTTTTGTGATTTTACTTTCTACTTAGGTATACACTGCTCACATAAGCTTAAGTATGCACAACCCACAACAACTTTGATACATGTATACAGTTACCAAAATTAGAGTATACAGTTCTGGTAACAACATAGTACACAATTTGTTACACTCTGCTTAAACTTCTGACAAAATCTGAATGTTCATTTTTAGCCGCTTCTAAATTATTAATAATGACAGCAATTAATGGATACGTTTCTGGAACAAAATAACTCAAATATACTCATAACTATAATGGCTTAAGCAGATTTTAACCATAAGGTGGCAGGTAGACCACTAGTTTCTTTTCTTTGGAATGACCACAATAGATGTACAAGTTGTTTAAAATCAGTTTAGTTTCAACTTTGTAGTTTAGTTATTTAGAGTATATATTGTAGATACATATATAATATCACATTATATAGACAGGTATTCTCTTATTTGTACTTTGACTTTATATTTACTGGACGGCAAATTTCTAAGGCTTAACTTCTTGACCTAGTAAATATTAAAGATCAATATGTTTTCTTTCATTCTTATTTATTTTAAATTCCATTACATATACATGTATATTGGTAGCACATGTATGTCTTATAAGTACCGCAGAATTACAAAAACCTTTTGACAACCTCGTTGTCTGATACAAAATGGCACTACCACATGTATGCATTAACCTTATTAATTAATGCAAATCCCTCCTATAATTCCATTATCAGACGCAGTTGTTGAAACAATGACAATATGCATTTAAACCCGTTATGATTTCACCCTATACTTTAATGGACATACAATATTGAAATTCAAGTCCGAACAAGCCATGCTAAGATCCTCTAGTGTTACCTTTAATAGTATATATGTATGTATATTCTGTATGTAAAAATTCTTAGCTCTGTTTGTACAAATATTTCACTCTTGAGTTTGGAACAACATATTTTTCGTTGACTTGGTATTTTTGTGTGTCTCTGTGTGTGTTGGATTTATTTTTCGGGATTTTTGTTTTGTTGTTGAAAAAGTGAAATTTTGGATATATTTATTTTACTGATGCATTTATAATTCTTTAAAGGTAAACATTTTAATTATATATAATGTAGATATGACAGAATGAAATGGAGTGAATTTTGCATAGATGGTATAATGTTTAAACATTGTTACTGTAACTTATACTCCATGCAAAAGAACACATTTGGGTAATAAAGACAAATTTGTAAGGTAGTCATTTTCAACAAATTGGTCATCCTTGGACTATTGTTTGTAATTCTTTATAACTTTTTATGATTAACCATGAGACAGTTTCTAGTTAAATAGTAGAATAGCCATCATTCTCTTTTTTCTGAAATAATTTTTTTATAACGGAATATATATTTTTTAAGCAGTAAAATGTATAATCCTCATAATAATAAGGTTGAACACATTTTACTTTGGAAAAGTTGGCATTTAGAAAAAATGAAAGTTTTTTTTAAAAGCTACTGTTGCTTCATTTAACTTCTTAAAGTGTTGATTGAATAAATACAAGAAAACTTTGTATATCAATCTTTGGCATTTATCAGCTGCATGTCCCTGGTTTGAAACTGACAAAAATCCATAATGTGAATGCATCACCTCCCAAAATACAGAAAAAACTACAAGCAAAAACATTAGAACAGGACTGCTAATCTGGAAATCTATACCAGTTTAAGTAAATTTAAAGCAGAATTGACAAGTAAAAATAAAAAAAAGGAAGTTTTCTTTCATTTCTACCTCCAGAAATGATTGGTACAGATTGTTCCAATGACATTTTCACTCATGTTTCTTGAGAATTTTTTTTTTTTGTGATTAAAGTTTAAAAAAGAATTAGGAATCCCTGCATGTAAAAAAATCCAGATTTGAAGCTTAATGTTCATGTTTGTCTGTAAAGCACACTTTCATCGGTTATGACCTCAAGGTCAATTACTTTCACTCATCTTTCTTAAAAATTTATTTTCTTTTTGTGATTGAACTGGAAAATGGAATTAAAAATTCATGATTTATCTTTTTTCTCTACTTGGTAAGAAAGTCCAGATTTGTAGCTTAATATTCAACTGTCCTCTTTGTCTGCTGAGCACACTTTCATTGGATATGACCTCAAGGTCAATTACTTATCATTCTCTATTTTGATATGTGTCTTAAATGAAATCTTTAAGATTTAAAAAGAAAAGAAACTATGATAAAACTTGACATGTTTGTTTTCCAGACATTTTTTCATTAGATGAGTTGCCCTTTCTGAGGCCTTTGTAAACTTTAATTTTGTCCCTTTCTATAAAATTTGGTTGTCAAATGTAGACATTATTAAACAAAAACTTTATAGCCACACTTGAAATTTATTTGTCATGTCATAGGCATTGTTTGTTTTGTTCAAGTTATTACATTCTGTTAATATTGATGGGGAAGCCTCTCTTTCATATTTTTTTATCAGATTTGTATTTAGCATTGAAACAGCCTCAAATAAAATTTCGATATTAGAATGCAATATTTTGCAGTCGCATTTAAAAGTTATGGAAGAGGACTGACAGGGAACTTAAACTGATGGTTTTATGTCTTTGGGTAATAAAATTTCAGTTACAGTGAATTGGTATTTAGAACTCTTATGTTCAAAGTAATGATGACAACCTTTCTGTGAAGGTTATATAGACTTTTCCTTTGAATACGTAGGTCTCGTACTGATTCTGAATAATTCAGGATTTGAAATGTTCCAGCTTTTTGACATGGACATTTTTACCGACCATTGTTTATAGTACTGTTATCTAATAATGTAATTGGCTCAATAATGTCTTTAAAGTCCTGGATTTGATATTTGACATTGAACCTCCATGAACTGTCCAAAATATATCACAGGATTAAATTGGGTTTTTGGTTTTGTATCCTGTGAATTATATTTGACTATATACCGACTAGTGAATTCTCTCTGTAGAATTGAGACCTTTGATGGTTTATTGATAGTTGATATAGATTTTTAGTGACTGAGACAATATATGGACATCATATGAAAATATAGAATTTATTTGTACAAGCTTTTGATGTTGGAAGAAAAGCCAGGCTCTCTTGAGCTTTTCTATAGCAATTTTATGTTTTCAGACAATGTTTGTTTATTGTGTTATCTTTGCAATTTAAATTTGAAACATTGAGATATTGCAAACCTGACATACAAATGAATGTTTTATTCTTATTTTACAGACATTGCCAGAGCATGGAACAATGTAGGCAAGGCAAGATCGGAGGTAAGATAGCTATTAAGAACCAGGCAGCAACACTTTTGCTGGTCTGTTCAGTAGAGCTTATGGTAAATCATGAAGACATAAAAACACTGCAAAAGATGACAAATCATTAAAATATGTATATATAAGAAATAAACTTTGGTTATGTATTTATAAGAAATAAACTTTGGTTATGTAAATATAAGAAATAAACTTTGGTTATGTATATATAAGAAATAAACTTTGGTTATGTAAATATAAGAAATAAAATTTGGTTGTATTGTCTTTTAAAATTGTTCCATGATATACAGTAAGCCTTCACATGTTCAAATTAGATTTCAATGCATAATAAATACATCATTCTTCACTTCAGATCAATTTTCAAGATTAACCTTGCTTTAGAATATTTATGTTAAATTGTCTTGTCAATTTATTCAATTTTCAAAACCAAGAAAGACCGAAAAAATGAAAAAAAAAATTTTGTCAATTGTGTTGTAAGGGAACACCAGTCAAAGTGGAAGACATAAAAATTGATTTATAGTATAATTTTACAAAATTACACAATAAAATTCCGATTGAAGGGACAAGAATTGGTTTTAAAACCTTAACAGGTAACTGTAGCATTTATCATATTATGTTTTTGATTAGTATCTGTAGTGTTTTGTGCCTAATTAAACTTAACAAATATTTTCCAATTGAATGATCTTATTAAAAATTAAGCCCTGTTTCGACCATTTAACGTTGATTCTACAGCCTTGACATACTACGGTATGTTCACAATTAAAAAATTGAATTTTTTAGGCAAGAGAAATTTTGTTTCTACCAATTAACTATAAAGATAAGGAGATTCGTTATGATTGCTAATTAGAAAACTATCCACTAGAGACTTAAAGATGTGGTTGTAAACATCTATAGGTTACCATACAGTCTTCAATAATGAACAAACCCATAATGTATAGTAACTTATAAAAGGCTACGACAAGCCAAATGTGAAATTTATTCAAAGAAGAAAGATTTGTGGCCCGATATATTCTAAAAACAAGAAACTAAAAACAAATATGGTAGACAGCAACGCATGACAACCACTGAATTATAGAATACTGACTTAGGACAGGCACATAAGGAATGTGAGGGGTTAAACATGTTCATAAGTGCTCAACCCTCTCCCTTACCTGGGACAGTGTTGTTACAGCAAAATATAAGAACAATGCTGACATAATATGTAATAAACTTTGCATAGTTCATGCATACATTAGTTCTGCAAGAGTCTACAAAGTTTTCAGTATAATTCAACACTTAAAGCAATTAAACTAGCACTATTGTTTAGACAATATATATAAGTTCATAGCTATAGAATATGCATTTAAATAATGCATATGCATGTTTGGTATTTATTGTCATATAAGCTCCATGACATTGCATATTATTTTAGATGAGACATAACAAGGGATCTCAGAAAAGCCATGTTAGCAAAGTCTGAAACAGACCTTGTGGTCAATTTTGCAGTATTTTATGCTTTCTGCCATTCTACATAAAATAAATCTTTATGGTCTCAAAACTATAAGTCTGCATTCATATTAAAGGAACATAACTTTTAAAACAAGAACACAGAATAAAAGTATAATTAAAAACTTTTTAAATACGTTCGATCCATAACATTTCCATTACCAGATAAACTCTTTTACTATACGCTGATTTCTCATGTCATTTAAACATTTTATGGGCTAACTGGACCCCTGCATCTTTGAACTGATAAAGTAAGTGTGACGGCTTGACATTTTTCAAACACCCGTCTTTATTCTTATGTACATAATCCAACTCTGCCTTAAGAAATATATCAATTTTATTTAAGAACAGCTATCGAAGCAGTTATAAGGAAGTTATCCCCATTAGAATATTAATTCCTTAGCTCAATGTACTGACGTAGATTTTATGCCTAACAAACGTACAAATGACGCCAAATAACGTCACCTAAAACCAAACACTTTGACGGATAGATAACGATTGGAATCAAGCGTATTGTCAAATACATATACTAGTTTATTATGATTGACTTATTAACTTATGTTTTGTGTAAAGATTTAAAGCCCTCACAGCTTGTCCAATCAGACATTAAGGTTTACCTTTGTCTGTATGTCCTTTTAAGGGGAGCGGGAAGAGGGCATCTATAACCCTTATCAGAAAGTCTTTCCAAAAGCTTGATTTGTCTCTTAGAATTATAATTTGAAGAGTTATTCCCCTTCATACCAAGTAATGATGGTTCACCCCTTACAAAAAAAAGTCATTAGAAAATTGTTTATTGCTTCACAAATAACTCTTCAGCTTTATTATAAAGTGTGGTTGAAAGAACATGTATAGCATGAATAAATCATCATGCCACCTACAACCATGAGCCAAAGCCTGTACCACATAGCAAGCTTAAAATGTAAAACAATTCAAACAAGATAACTAACAGACTAATTTATATACAAAACAATAAACGAAAAATAGATATGATATACAGCAACAAACGACAACCACTAAATTGCAAAATCCTGACTTGGATCAGGCACATATATAATGTTGCGGGGTTAAACATGTTTGGGGTCACCAAACCGTCTCCTACCTTTTAGCTTGTTCTCCTAAATATGCATGAAATATTTGCCACTGGAAATTAAGCATGCAACAATCAAACTTAAGTTTTTTGAAATGACTTGGGTAGGGCTATAAAGTGATTGTATGATGGTAGATTTAGTAATTATTTTGTTTAAGATTGAAGGGTGTGTTTGAATAGTCTTATCATGTATATTTTACAGTTGAGGAAGATAGAGCATCGGCTAGGAGATGTACACAGTTCTCCGGTGTATTTAAATGAGACAGGAAATCCAAGCGTTAGAAACTATAGTGCTCTCATGGAAAATTCAAACATCAACGAGTTTCCTTCAGGGGTAGGTCATTGTATGTTATAGAATATAGGAAACTTCCCTTAGACAAAGCTTGTTTTTATGCCCCCTCCGTAGCAGAGGGGCTTTAAGTTTTACCCTTGTCCGTCCGTACGTACGTCCCAAAATTGGTTTCCATTCTCTAACTTTAGTTTGCCTCAACCAAATGTTATGAAACTTATACAAAATGCTTATTACCATAAAACACAGATCAAGTTTGAATTTTGGTGGCGTCACTTTAACCGTTCTAGAGTTATGCCTCTTTACAAATGGAAAAATTGCTGAATTTTTCGTTTCCTTTCTCTAACTTTAGTTTGCCTCAACCAAATGTTATGAAACTTATACACAATGCTAATAACCACAAAATACAGATCAAATTTGAATTTTGGTGGTGTCACTTTTACTGTTCTAGAGTAAAGCCCCTTTACAAATGGAAAAATTGCTGAATTTTTCGTTTCCGTTTTCTAACTAAATTTTGCCTCAACCAAATTTTATGAAACTTATACACAATACTTATTACCACAAAACTCAGATCAAATTTGGGTAGCCTCACTATTACCATTCTTCAGTTATGTTCCTTTATAACTTTATTAGAACACGACTGCGAAATCGTGGGCATTTAGAGCATGTTGAAAGTATGTAAACTGATGTAGGATGAATTTTTGTAAAAGATTTTATGACTCGAGAATTTCAGGAAAGGTATCAAAAGTATCTTAAACATGTCAGTGTTCTCCCCAGGATTTTTGGATAGCACCAGGGTAACGCGTGTGGACTTCTTGGTGAAATATTTCATGTAATCAGTTGTCGCATCGCGTCGCTTAGCTCTAGTTACTGTAGTTTTTATGTCTCTTGTTTTGTTTTAACACTGTGGTACTGTGTTATGTAGACATTGATTCAGAAAATTATTGGTAAAAAAAGAAGTAAATAAAAAAAAACAGTTTGTATACTTTAATTTTTTTTTAAAATAAATAAATTATGATTCATAATAAAATATTCATCTGAATTTAAATTTAAATCTGTTATAAAATCCAAAATCAATAAAAATAAAATATCATTCAAAAGAGAACAAAAATGTTCAATTTAAAAAACTTTCTAGTTTCTAAAAAAAAAGTTGTTGTATGTGAAAGGATTCCTGTCATAAGAAGATATAAAATTAACAAGAACAATTGCAAATATTGTTTTATTATTTGAACCAGTTTCTATCTTAGATTTTAATAAAAAGAAATTTTTCATTAATTTTAGAACATTTTGCCGTAGATTTCATGTAAATATTAACCTTTCTTGTCTTTGGTGATAATCAAACATAGATACAGACTTAATACTGCCCTAAAATCTAAATCTTTATTTGTCATGAACCATTTAAAAAGAATTCCTAAATCTATAAATTTATCTTTGGTCTATAGATCTATAAGTAACCATATTCAATGTCAACAACTAAGTCTCCCTATTTTCCCGCCTAAATGACAGGAAGTAGATATAAATAGATTTAACATGTGCTTATGGATAAAATTTGCAAGATTACTTCTGTTATTCATTAATTATGGATATAGATATCCAGTTTGAAGGTACAGTCATGCATTTTATTTATAAAATATAATAGATTGCAATTAATTGTAAATAAACTTGAATATTCTACGTGAACTAACTGGGTCATGTGATATGTACAGACAGTTTGAAACCCGACTTTCATGCAATAACAATGTCATAATTGAAGATAATATTGGCCATGGTTTAATCAGAGACTTATAATACTATAATATAAGAATTGGGAAATGTATAGTTGTCCATTATACGTAATGAGCCACCATTATGATGTACAAAAAATGTTCCTATCGGGTCAAGACACTATTTGTGTACAAAGTATTTGCCGACTTGTCACAGGTCAGTGCTTGGGTGGAGAGTGAAGCCATGAAATAGTTATCTGTGATCATAACGTTATGATTGATTGATTGATTGTTGGTTGCTTAACGTCCAGTGGCAAATATTTCATGCATATTCAGGACGAGAACAAGTTCACAATAAATACAATAGGTAGGTTCTGTAATAGATTAAGGGATTAAGGTCGGAGAAATTTAGACTGCCACGGGAAATGAGGGTATATTGGATAGGGACAGAAATTTAGCCTTGCAACAGGTCACCTACGGACCCCCCCAAAGAGTTGTTGCAAGGGTTCTTAACGTGCAAAGAGCGTGGCACTCTCTTTACACGAGACATCGGATTTAACGTCCCCATTCTGACCGGACGTGGCTGCAAATTTGTACATCCCGCACAGCCAAACGGACGCCCCACTTTAGCACGGGTTTTACTGCCGGTCGGAGGAAGACCAATGGTGACCATACTTCTATTCCCCAGTCACCCTTGGGGGTCATAACGTTATGAACTCTTAATTAAAACACAAAAGAATCATGTTACAAGTGTTAATTACATCGATTAAATCCAATCAACAAGTAAACCTCATAAGGTAAATCGATCACGTGGTGTAAACAATCTGTGTTGAACTGGTTTGAACTGGTCAAATTTCACCTGGAATTTTATACCGCACGGAAAAGATTTAACAAGTCGTTTAAAACTTTACCGATTTACGATTTTTTAACAGAAAATTTTAGCACCACGGAGAAAAATTATACATCGCGGTAAGAACGATACCACCACGGTAAAAAAATATACATCGCGGGCCCGCTGTCCTTTAAGGGCCTGGGGAGAACACTGCATGTACTGATGTCAATATAACATTTTGAATTTTTCACCAGTTCAAAATATTGGATGTAAATCTAAAGAATGTCAACGCAAAGGTCAACTGTTTGTAGTAACATGAATGCACATTTTTTAGGAGGCGAGATGCTTTGTCATCATGCTTTTTGTTTCGTTGTGCAAAAGACAGAATAATCGATATGTGAACCTTTTCAATTTCAGTCACTCGAAACGGATTCTACTAATGAATTAGATTATTATGTGATATTTGCAAAAAAGATTGGAATTATGAATAGAGCCATAATAAAATACTCAATAAACAATGTGATTTGTGCACAAAACCGTCATATTTTACTGAAATGTGGAAATGGCTTCAGACTTAATAAGGTGTTATGTTTTAAGAAAGCAAATTAATTCTAATATGGGGTGCTTATTACGTCATATGAATAGAGCCATAATAAAATACTCAATAAACCACAACCACTATAAATCGACGACGTCACAATGCGATTTGTGCACAAAAACGTCATATATATTTTACTGAAATGGCGTCAGACTTTTCAGTGGGAAACTTTACTATATTAGAATCAAAATAAGTCATGCATTTCATAGATTTGCCGTTTTCATTTTCACATGGCCTGGGTCGTTATATTTGCTAATTTTTACATCAGATGACCGTGAGAGCATTACGTAACTTTCATGTTGGGATTGTAACCGATCTATAAACATGATAGATACGCGGACATTATTGAGTGCAAAATAACATTCCTTATCGCTTGTTATAAATTCATTTTTTCAATGGATACTCCTTAAAATATTTTTTTTAGAACATAAATTAATAATATGAAAATGTTTTGTCGTTAGAAATATCTATAATTAAAAAATCTTTTATATCTATGCACAGGTACAGAAAATGTGTGTTAACACATGCGGAAGAATATCTCAAGAACGTTTGCAATCTCCCATGCAGAGTTATCTGTCCTCACTCTCTCTCTGCACGGGAGATTGAAAGTTTGGCGGGAAAATATGAATGCCTACTCAAATCCAATCTATTAAAAAATCGAATTATTACAGAAGAGTGTCCACCATGCACTTGCACTGCACTATTATTAATATAGTAGAATAGAATGATATACAAATGGATGAAAATTATATATACATGTAACTGTAATATACAAATATTAATATAATATATAACAACAAACCAGAGTATACTGATTTGTATCACTTCAATATCATATTTATTATGGTGAGGTTGAATTCCCTGTCATTTATTTATCATCCATGCACGAACTTGTCTAAGAAAAAAAAATTATATCTGTACATTAACCTCACTTTCAGGTATAGAGATGTGATTTTTTTTCTGAGACAAGTGCTATTGACCATCCACAAGAACTTGCAGTACTTCAGTACTTTGATATCCTTTGCTTACGCTCGGGATAAAATTCCAATATAACGACCCAGGCCATGTGAAAATTTTCAACAAATCTATGACTTGCATGAATTATTTCTTAAATAAAACATGATTATATACCGGTTCCAGGGATCCCAAGAAATTGGATTTTTATCGCTTCCAGGGACCGAAGGAATGTTCGATACCGGTTCCTGTAGCTTAGGTACCCAAAACATTGTATGTAATCAAGTTTGGAATAAAGGGTTGTTTGTAAATTTACTAAAATTCTGTGTAATTTTAAACAGTCCTAAACAGAAGTCTTGTCTATGACGGAAACAATATCCGGACGCCTTTATTTTCGTTTTCCTCCCAAAATAACCCAAACGAAATAATCATAAGCGAGAATGACAAATGCGACTATGCATGGTACCTATAGGACACAGAGGCATGATGATTAATTTATTGTGGAAGGAAGGAAGCGACACACAAAATGAGGTCTTCTCATTTAATAGTATAGATATGATATGCCAGCGGGGGCATCATCTGTGTCCCATGGACACATTCCCCATTTATTTCATGTATGCAATAATTGGATGTACAAGCAAAAAAAAAAAAGTTGGAGAAAATTCAAATGTCAGTTTAGCTGGAGGTTTCTTATTTTCAATTTAATCATATTCTTGCAGATCTTTAAAAAGCGTGTTTCTCTAGTACGAAGTTTATTGAAACAATGTCAGAACTGAGACTGCCTTTTTTTAATTGCCCAAATTACTATGAAAGAGTTATCTTTCTTTAGAATAAGGTTATCTCTGTAAAATTTGACTATATCATCTTCTTTCTACAAATCCTGGTCTTATTAGATTGTTTTCTATCAACAATCAACCTCTAAGGACTTGGGATCCTCTGCTGATGTCAGTACGGTGGCAATCATTCATTTAACAGTACATTTTTTTATGCCCCCGCCATAAAATTTAAATAAATGGAAAAAATTGCTGAAATTGCCATTTCTGCACTCTAACTTTACTTTGCCACAACCAAATGTTCTGAAACTTATACACAAAGCTTATTACCACCAAACACCTCAGGAACAGGTGGAAATGTGCACTCGGTGCCGCCTTACCTCAGGGACAGGTGAAGATGACCCTCCTGAATTGATAGATAGTATATTTAAGATACTTGTATCTATTACTCAGATAGTCTAAATGGACCAAGTTTGTTACACAGGAGTTAATACTTTTATCAGGGCAGTACATTTATGAAAATATGTCGAGGAAATTTAACTTTAAAGCAAATGAATAAACATATGAAATAATGGTAATGTTTGATATAGGATGAAAAGTAATTTTACTTTATTGTTAGAGCATTGTGGTTAAAGTTTCCCTTACCACAAAGCATATATAAACTACAGACAATTCCATGTTTATTAAATTTAATAATTGAAAACCGTAGAAATTGATTGTATTGTGTTTAAAATAACTAAATTGACTTTATTCAATAAAATCTTTCACAAGGAAATAATGTACATTTTCTACAAATAATTACTTTATTTTACATCCAATTTATTGATATTTATTTTTCAAAATTTCTTTTACTGTTCGTTGCAAAATATTTGATGAAAATTAACTTATCTATTCTTATGAGTAATAAAAATTGCTTAGTACAAATTCTACTGAACAAAAATCAATGATTTTATTTTATAAAGTAACACAGAGTCAATTTTCTTAATACATTTTGTAAGTATACCCATACTTCATAAGATCATAAATTAGAGAGATTTTTTTCACTCCTTCATATATATAGATTTTAAATGTCTTGCTTATTTTCTAAATTGCTAGGAAACTTAGAGTTTTATGGATACTTTCTACGGTAAATTTAAGTAGGTTAGGTTTTACAGCAATACATTATATTACATAATAAATACACAGGAGTGTGAAAACAAGGCTGTCTTTTTGGCAAAATACACAAACGTCTCCTTTATATTTTACTTTGAAGTGAAAGGCTATGGTACACATTAAAATGTATTTTAAAATTCCTAACAAAGTAATAGTAGATTTTTCACTTCTTCCATAATTTTCTTCTTAAATTTCTAGCAATATCACCTACCATTGCTTTTCTTACCAGCTTTCATTAAGGTGTTAACTTGTGGATAGTGAACACAGGAAAACAGCTTTCATTGAGGTGTAACCTTTTCATCGTAGGTAGTGAACATTCGGTAATAAATGTTTATTAAGAGTACATGAATGATCATCTAGTCATCACATTTCGGCATAACTGCAGGATGCTATTTTTAGCATACTGTCATTGTGTACATAAGGAATATTTCCTCATAAGTGAAGTTGCTTATTTTCGTGTACTTTTCCCATCTTCCAACAGACAGGGAGTAATATAACTGCAAAATATATTGTTTGTACTGTTAGATGTTTGCAGTAGCTACCAATTAGAAAAAGCATATAAATATATACACAAAGGCAGATTATACATGCAAATGTATATTTTAGGCTGTTGTGGATAAATATGGAAGAAGCAATGTTATGAGAAACAGAGAAACAAGAAAAATCAGCAAAAAAGGTGAGTTTAGAATCAAAGATGCTTTATTTTGAGTGATACCACTTTCTTCTATCTCAAAAGTCATTAATTGTGGTTTTTTTTATGCTTCTCCTACATCAAGTACTGAGCGAGGCAAATGTAGGTAGTCTTTCCATAGATACATCCTTATCTGGTAAAGTTTTACATATACATGTTGGTTTAATTCTCAAAAAATTATTGTAATATATCCATGATAATTTACCAGGACAGTCCTGTTGTAAAGTAAAAAATTTTATCATCATATAATTGACTATGACCTACAATTCATGGTAGAGTGATTATAGTATTCTAATTAGATTAAATCAATGATAGGTCACCTCTTGCCCTGTATATCACATCACTGTTGAACTTCAATGAATTGAATCGATACATTAAGCTGGATATTTCCTAAGTGTAGAACATTCTTATAATGACAGGTTAATCCTTGATTAAAGAGAGAATTTTTTCTAAGAGACACCACAATGAACTTTGAACTCTGTTGTATAGTTGTCTCATTATTTTATATGAGAGATTTTAGCTGTTAGAAATTTATGTCTTTTGAAAGTTTCAAAGAGTATGCATTGTTGTATTGATGGGTTTTATCTTGATTGATTGGTTGTTGTTTGCCTAATGTCCAGTGGCAAATATCTCATGCATGTTCAGGACAAGTTTTATGTTTTTAAAAATTCTGTCAAACAGCAAATGTAACTAGGAAAGTATAGCACTTAATAAGGATATCAGTTATCAATTTGGGATTTCTTAAATTTTTCATGTGTTCGTATTTGTTTAGTGAAAAAGAAAAAGTGAAAGAAAGCTAAAATGAGGATGTTGTGTGAAAAGATTGACACACCGTATAAAGATATCCTGTTTATTATGAAACGGTTTCATACAAAAAAGTATTTTGAGCTTCAATTGTGTGAAACTTTATGTGGTAAACATCTTTTATTAAAAATAGTATTTGAGTCCTTTACAATTAATATCAGAAGATTTAATGATGTGATTCTATCAGTCATTTGTTAGTAAACTTGCTTATTTAGAAGATGTTGGTTAAGCCTCAAGGACACAGTAAGCTAACAACACAAAGAATTAAAAGACATCGCAAAGAATGACCAATAAAATGATCAAGGTTATTCCATTAGAATGGATGTGGGAAGTTAGGAAAGGACTTCAAAAATCCACCAACAAACAGCTTATTTTTTGGTGTAACTTTGTACAGGACCTTCAACCAATATGACCTACGACTCTTGTCCAAAAATAAAACATTCTATCCTTCCTCCCCATATTTATTTTAATGGAATAGCCCTTAGAATGCACTCTTTCTAATTTGAATTGTTTGACAAGTGTCCTTGTTGTTTGCCATGATACATAACTGAAGTAATAAATAAAATGTTGGTTACAGTCATACTGTAGCTAGATTTTCTGTTTTGATCCTAACTTACACAATGTAGTATACTGTGAAATAGTTATTATTTGTGGATTTAAGACATGAATTTAAATGTTCAACTACATGTAAGTACAAACCCATAGGCTTGTATGAAGACTTTGGCAAAAACCATGAAATTAAGTATTTATAAAAATACACTTTTTCCTCAATCCAAGAAAATTGATACCAACAAAAAATATATGAAACCACAGTATACATATATATGTTTGTAGTAATAGTAATTTTGTTTATTTTATGTGTTGAATATTCAGATGACGAGAATGAAGAATTTACTTCAGCTTCTAAAATGGAAGGAAAACGTGTAGATTTTAGAGACAAACAAGAACTAAGAGAAATTAACCCTGATGGCACATATACTGACTTGCCACCAGGGCAATATAATAATTTGACATTTCTCCGTCCTAATTCACCGCCTAATTCTGTACAGACAACACTCACTGACTCACGTGCTATCAGGGAAACCGAAATTAGATTTCTAAACGAGCCTACCTCACATACTCCACACGATCAAAGACGTGTTGGGACAGAGAATAGATTAACTCATGTCGATGTTATGGTGCCTGGTGCCTCCAAGTCTTCCGCCAAACATACTACGCATTATCAGGGGACCCTCTCCACTCCTCAGGAAAACAATAACGAAATAAAAACTGCTGAAACTGACAGACTATGGGAAACAGCTTCTACAGACTCCGCCCAGTCAGATGACGGTTCAATGAAACGAAAGTTTAAGAAGAGCATTAAAGATATTGGAGAAGGTAGGTTCATAAGTTAGTCAAACATTATTTTGGTTATGAAGAGGAAATTAAATATCTGTAAAGGGGGCCAGGAAGACTCCTTTACAGATTTAGTGTAACTTGGAAAAATGTTCTCAAACATACCTATGAATGTTCCCAAAGTGTTTTGAATAGATATATCATGTTCATAAGGTTTTTCTTGACAAAATTAGTACATGTAGTCAAAAGAACCAGCCACTAGGAGATGGAAATTTCATATCGAGACATTCACCATAAGTAACTCCTAGATTAAGATGTACTCAAACTTTGGACTTTCCTTTTTTTTTGTAATTTGTATTGAGTCAGTCTTTATTAAGAGCAATACAAGAAATTATCACTGTTCCCTGCTGGTTTAGCTGCCTATATTTACAATCAGGTTAGAAATGTTGTTTTACAAGTTTGACAAGGAGGAAGACTATAACATTTGTCAGTAATCATAAGACCTAAGTACTTGTCTATAGTTTGGCATTAGTATCACGCTGCTAGCAGTGTTGGATCATGTGTATCAAGTATGTAAATGTTTGCATAGGATAACAAAATTATTTACTACATTTTTTCAAACTTTGCTGGGGACTTATAGAAGCATCACCTCAGAGGTGAAACTCTCTTTATCAGTATTAGATCATGATTGAGTATGGATTATTGAGGAATTTCTTTGATAACACTACAACCGTACATGGCCTTCTTCGCTTTTTCAAACTGTTTAGAATTTATTACCTTATTCTGTAGTTATAAAAACCAATTCATTAAATAGAATGGATAAGTAATTGACGTTTTGATAAGTATAGGTAAATGTAGATTTGAAATTTACGTATGTTGATTGCGATTAATTGATAAATATTGTATCCCAGTTGCTAGAATGACTTTGTAACTAAGATTTTTTTAGGAGTTGTGGAAAAAATATTTTATTTCCACTTGGAAATTTCATGTTTTTTGGATTAGAAGGTTCCTGAAATTTGCAATAAATAATAAAATGTTGAGTAAGTAGAATAGGTTGACAGTTTCAAATATTGGAAATCAACAATTTTTTTAAATTAAGATGCCAAAGAGAAGAGGAAGAAAAATATGTAGCTTTAATTTAAAAAACACATTTATTGAAAATTAAATTGCTAATGCATTGGAAGTGAGTAAGTCCTAAGAAGTATCAAATATTTTGCAATGGTTTGTCGTTTAAAAGGACAGATTCAAATTTTTATTAAACAAAATCAAAACCCCTGTATATATTTATTATTCCTACACACTTATTTGCCCTTTAAATGAGAAGGCAATAGAATCACATAGAAAAGCTACGTGTGATAAAAGCGTGAATACAATTATTGTTGCATACACCAATGAAAGGTGCAGAGCAAAGGGATATATTTACAATAAAAATTGCTGTTTACATTGTGCATTCTAACGTCTTTTCCATTCTTCAACATTAAAGCAAATATGCATGTATTGAATTGATGAAAAGTGGGTTATAGATTGGTATAAAGTTTGTTTAAATGATGGTTGCTATACCCTAAACAAATATGTATTGACTTTAAAGACAAACTAGAGAATTAATTTTTTGTCAGATTTTTCTGTAGTAAAGACATAAGGTATATTACAAAGTGGATTATTATGGCAATGCAATGGTGTAGCTTGACTTAATTACCAAAGAAATAGGGATGAGTTTTAATAAATATTGTATTTGGATGCCATTGGGGGTAAGATATTGCAATTCAAACATTCAATCCGATTGGCTGAATTTATGGAATTCAGATCAACATTTTTTAGGTCCTTTTTTAAAGAAACATTATGATACGTACATCCACTTGTGTAAGATGTGTCAGACCTTAGGATCAAAGCATGGGCTATCTGCCTCTCAGAGAATTTGATTTACATTAAGGAAGGTTTCTTTTAGTTAAATGTTTGATCAAAACTCAGAAGAAAACCTTTTATTGTAAAAAATGTACAATGTATTTACAGACCTTCATTTAACGATAATTTACCTCTTACAAAATAACCATTTTTATTGTATAAACATAAGAGTTGCTTTTGAATTTATGGTACCTGCACACAAAACACAATTTTTTCTTTTTTAAGAATAATTCTGCTTTCTTAAATAAAATATATTACCACTGACTGTTAAAACTGATATAGTCTACGCTATAAAAGAGAAGGTTTTGAAAAAATGATGTAACATGAAAAATGATTCAAATTGTAAGGGGTGGGAGAAATTTTTTTAAATGAATAAATGGGCCTGGTTAGAACTGAATAAAGAAATTTGCACAAGACAGAAATTTTTGCACTGAAAAAAATAAGCATGCGTAGCAACAGATGAAAATAAATGATCAATCTGAAAAAATCCTCCTGCCCCCCCACCCCCTATCCTAAAATACCAAATGGTCATCCCTTAGAGAAGAAGGTTGTTTGATCTTACAGGTCTGTGCTATTCAAAAACATTAGTATAACAGAAATGTACTTAATAAAATCTATTTAAAGAATGTCATAACGAAATACAATGCTAGTATATAGTAGCCATTGTTGTTCAACAGGTTTTAAGGCTAAGAAGATTAGGCCATATTCTTCTCTTGATAGAAATGTTATAATACTAACAAGCTGGACACTTCAGTTATAAGTTAGATGAAAAGGTCAGGAATTAAAAATTGAGGGACATTATGGGATTATTTAAGGTGATGAAAGGAAAGTTTTATAAAATAAAAACTTGATGTTACTTTCTCATTGTTTGGTATCCGGTAGATAGTTGTCAAATTGGTAGTCATACCTCATCTTATGTTCATATTAAGATATGAGGGTTAGAAACTCTCGATACTAATTCAGTTATATAGTAAAAATACTTAATAAAAACACTGTTACGCTTAATTAAAAATACAGTTAAAAATGGATAAATGAAAATGAAGGGGACCTCCAAAGCGTAATTCTGTTTGTTTAAAATAAAATGTAAAATAGCTCACAAAGACTTGTTGACTTTTAAATTGATCACATTAACTTGAACCTTAGTTTGGTGTCTTTTAGAAAGTTATTTATAGCTTAGGTCTGTCTGAGAAACACTACTAAAAGTCAACAGTAGTATGTACTAACTTGTAAAAAAGATAAAATGATTATTTTGCTTTCAATGGAATGACAAAAAAAATTAACGTGATATGATTTTGTAGAATTCTATTTGCTCCATTAAAAGGACCCATTTCCAAGGAGAATTAATTGAAAAGCAGAATTATTAAATTGGTATTGACTTATCCCACTTATTTTGCAAAAAAAAAAAGCCCTGAAAAAAGACTTCAAATTTCCAAGTCTCAAAGTATTTAGATTAATCGCTCGTCAACCAAAGTTATAATTTTGCAGAGGCTGGTAATTAAAAAAGAAATAGTGGACTTTTCCATAGAATTTGTAAAGAATGACTCCAACCAAAAAGTTTATTTTGCAAACCAGAAATTGATTTTAAATTTATAAATGTAAACAAGTTATTTATAAATCTGTATGATAGTTTTATGAACTGTCGCTTGGTAGCTACTGCTGTGGTACTGTTAAGGGTTGTCAATTCATTTAAAATCATTCGATCAAAACCTAGTACTTGAGTACTTAATGATATAAATTACTGTGGATTCATTTATTTTCGTGGGTATCAATTTTCGTGGATTGTGGAAAACTTGCATTTACGTGTATATTTGATTTTGTGGTTTTGCCAATCTCTGCATATAAAGCCTATAGAACATTTGCTATTCGTTTAACATTTAAATTCGTGGTTCACCTGTACCCACGAAACCCACGAAAAGTGGTATCCAACGAATAATAATGACTCCACAGTATATATATTTTGACTTTTAATTTTTCAGTTTATAAATTATGTAACTAGTTTAAAACTAATGTTGCAACTCCTTGACTGTTTATGGTTTTTGTCCTATTAAATTTAGGTAATTATTCTCTCAAATAGTTTGAATTTTTACTCTCCCAAACTTACCTTCTGGAGCAAACAGATGAGGGTTACTTATTAGTTATTAATCATGTATTACCCATGCCTTGAAATTCTTGTGTGTTTATCTAAGATATAGACAAACCATGCATTAATGTGTTTAAGGAAATGAACATTTCCTAATAGTATGTCGAATTATGTTTAGAAATACACAAAATCAGGTTTGCACATAATATAATTTTTCATGGATCTACAAAAATTTGTAACAATGAAAATAAATGAATCTACAGTATTCCTGAAAGATTTATGTGTCTTGAACACTTAAGTCAGTATCATATGTTTATTTATTCTTTTCCTGGCACTTATATGGCACCTTTACACAATAGATCTATGAATCAGCTTTAGTTCCCAAAAAGGTGATAACTGTATCAAATTGTTTTAGAGTTAGTTGAATGCTTACCGAAAGAAATCTCTGGAAAGGTCTGTAGTACAAGAAATTACTATTGATTCATCATTTTCATTGATATAGATTTTGGTAGTTAAAAAAAGTTATTTTGAGGGCCTTGGTTTAGTCATCGGATTTTAGTTCATATGTTCCCGCTAACCAGGAAGTCCATGAAAATTGGTATCTCATGAATATTCATGTAACCATAGTAGAGTATAGTGCTATTCAACAAGAAGGTTGCTATATTTACTAATGCAATTATCAAACAACCTAATTATAGGTAAACACTGTCATCCATGTTCTGGATTAACCCTTTCTACATGTTCATAGTTTCAATTTTGATCATTTAGGAATTAAAATGAGGATGCAGTCTGATTGAAACACAGATCCTCAGACCTGTGTCTAACTAAGCTTTGCTTTCAAGGTTCTGACAACACTAAGTTTTACTTTCTGTTCTGGTAATTATTACATGGCCCGAGAACACAGTTATTTTGTAGTGCATTTCTTTTAGACAATAAATTCAAATTAAAAAGCCACTGGACGTTAAGCAACCATCAATCAATCAATCAAATTAAAAAAATTGCACCTGCTTTATCTCAAAAAGATTTTTACAGTAGTGTACTACTATTGGGACAAATAATA